CTCTCTCTCTCTTTGTCTCTCTCTCTCTCTCTCTCTTTGTCTCTCTCTCTCTCTCTCTCTCTCTCTCTCTCTCTCTCTCTCTCTCTCTCTTTGTCTCTCTCTCTCTCTCTCTCTCTCTCTCTCACTCTTTTCTCTCTCTCTCCCGTTTTCTCCGTGCCTCCTCATCTTCCATTGTCCGAACGCGCTGTGCGCGCAACGAACCAAGGTCCTGTCAGGTGTCACACAGGGCAGACAATGAGAAGAGAGGCCCCTGCCTCAGGCCCTTTGGAGTCCAGGACTTGCGCCAAGTCCGATGCCGTGGGGCGCCGGCCGAGCTCCGTTGCCGCCTTGGTCGCGGCGTCGTTGTAGGCCTGCAGCGCTCGCGCGCGTAGTGACAGTGCGGACTGAAGGAAGTCGCGGCCTGTCGGCCATATTGCCTTTGCAGCTTACTTGCGGGCACGAAAGTCCTGCTGTGCCCCGACACGAGCTGTGTGCCCTCTCTGCTCGAAAGAAGGCGAGTGGCGGCGGGCCTGCGTGCGACGTGCGTCTGCGTCGCGTTTCCTTTGTAGCGCTTGACGGGCGACCTGGCACGCAAACTCAAGCTGGCTGTTCGTGCACCAGGGCCGAGCGATCGCCCGCCTCATCATCCTCTGCTTTTGCCTTGAATTCCGCCCGCTGGTCCTTGAGCTTCTGGTTCTCCCTCTTTTTACGGGCGCGTTGCGCTCGCTGGGCCTTCAAAGCTCTCCTGACGTCTTCTTTCTCCTTCGCCGCTGCTTCGCGGGCTCGCTTTCGTGTGGCAGCCTCCCGCTTCCGCCGTTCCTTGGGGGTCTCCCCGTCCTGGGCTCATTAAGAGCTACCCTCTGTTGGCTCACGCACGCGGCACCCCGCCTTCTCGGGGTAGAGCAGCGTCTGCACGTGGACGTGAAAAACGCCCAATATTGCGTTTCGGAACGGCTCCAGTGCTTGGGTTGTGCACTGGAGGTGTGCGCCTGACAGGGCTGCGCCACTTGGTGCTTGGCGTTGCTTCTGGGGCCGGCAAGGATGTCCAAGAGTTGCGGCAAGTCGGCTTTCTGGTGAGCGATCTGTTCCAGGGTCAACGGCAAGAAAGAGGCACCTTTGATTAGGGGGGGAAAGACAAACATCCTATGGCCCGCACACTCCAGCTCAGCCCTCACGGTCAGCCAGGACAGCGCCGTGACGCGTCGCGGTCCTGGCGGGCAACAGCGTCTAAAAGCAACCTGCGCAAGGTGCCCGCACGCAGCGCCCGTCCTGTAGCGGCCGCCTTCTTGGCGGCCTTATCGCACCAGGCTGCTTTTTTCCGTAGCCGCCGTTCCCTAGGGGACGGTGAGCTGGAGGAAGAAGAACTCGAGGAGCTCTCTTCCCCCTGCGCCTCTCGCACCTGTGCCCGAAGGCTCGAAAGCACCGCAGGGGTTGCAAGCCACGCGGCCTGGTCACCGATTGCCTTCTCTGCGAGAGGGACTTCAGCAGCTTCGTCCGCTTGCTCTTGCAGGGCCCACGCCGCTGCGAGCTCCTAGGAAGCAAGCCAGAACCTACCAGTAGCTTGGTCTGAGGCACGCACGGCAGGCCCCAGCTCTGACTCCTCGACACCTGGCGCGGTGCAGAGCCCTTGTCCCAAGGGAGCGCCACTAGCCTTCACCGGGGACGTCGAGAGCGCTGAGGTTCATCACGTACGACGGCGTGCCTACAGGGTGTAGTAAACAACCAAGGGTTCAGGCGTCCTGTCGGGCCTCCCACTTCACCTTCGCACACAAAGAGGGGTGGGGAAGGGGTTGAAGATGGCAAGTCACCGTCAAGTTACAGACGACCTGAGCGCCGCGCTGCCAGCGTCTTCCTCGCTCTCCGTGCCTGGCGTGACAGGGAACAAGTTGTTGCACTAACACACAGACACACACATACACACGCGCACACCAGAACCGACAAAACCCAGCCCTGTTAACAGATAGGCGCCCTGCCATTTGGATTGTCACCGGCGTAGGCGACACCCACCAAGAAAAGCCACCGGAGTCGCAATTCTGTCCTTGGCTTCCGAATCCTAAGACAGAATAGGTTTAAATGGCAAGATTCTTAGATCTGGAGCAACGGCCAACGCCTGTGTGGCTGTTGATAAATTGATTGCGCGGCGCGATATCGGATCGGCTATCCAAGGCTCCAATCCAAGGAAACGCTTTGCATGTTTCTTTGTTGATAAACTGCTTGTGCGGCGCAATGGCGGATCTACTCTCCACAGCTGAAGCGGCGCTCCCATCCAAGGAAATGCCTCGGCCATGAGCTTGATTGCCTTTTGAGAACTGCTTGCGCGGCGCAATAGCGGATCTACTCTCCGGAGCTCAAATCCTAAGAAGTTGCTTTTCCTTGTCGTTAATTGCTTGACCCTTTGAGGCCGGCCCCGATGGCCCTTTTATCAAAGCCAGCTCCAACCGGGAGGGCCAACCTCCAGATCTGGCCAAATCCGCTATTGCGCCGCGTAAGCAGTTTATCAACGGCCGGCCAGCCACGGTTTTGATAGAGGCCGGCCCCGATGGCTATTTTATCAAGACCCCTAGATTACGCGGCATAAGCAATTTATCAACGGCCCAAGGCCAACCCCTAGATCTGGCCCTCGGAGGCAATCCGCCATTGCGCAACAACGCTGGCCCCGATGGCCGCTTTATCAAGGATTCCAGGGGTTCCCCTCCAAGAACCTAAGGTTTATGGTTATCATTGCGGAGAGCGCCGCGCGCGCCTGCTGGCACGGGCGCCTTTGGCAGCGCTGCTGCTGGAGCAAATCTTTGGCGCATTTTGCGCGTCCTCTTTCTCCTCTCTCCTCTCTCCTCTCCTCCTCTCTCCTCTCTTTCCTTTCTCCTGTCTCCTCTCCTCTCTCACTTCTGTCCCGCTCCCAGGACAGAATTGCTATCTGGAGCAGATCTGCGGCCGCTGTCTAGCCGTTGATAAGCGCATCGGCTATCCGAGGCTCCAATCCAAGGACACGCGTTTCCAAGTTGATAAACTGCTTGTACGGCGCAATAGCGGATCTACTGGCCTGAGCTTGTCATGATTGCTGTCGAGCAGTCCGGCCGTTGATAAACTGCTTGCGCGGCGCAACAGCTCTCAAATCCAAGTCTAGTTTTGTCCTTAGCTCCAACTCCCAGGACGGCGCGATGTCGGATCGGATCCGAGGCTCCAGTCCAAGGAAACGGCCTTCCAGGTTTCTGGAGCTGGCCATTAGCTTGTAGAAATTCTTTGCGCAACCATTACAACGCCCGGGCTTGTACGTTGTTCGTGCGAAACCCTAAAGATTTGCAACCCACGCTCTAGCTCAAAGAATCTAGCATTTTCCTGTCTCAGGAAAAGCAAAACGTTTTCCAATTTGGAATCTAAGTTGAACAATACCAAATCGTCTGACGCTCTAGTCGCGGCCGCGCGCTCAAAGAGCGCGGGCAGCGAACACGTTGCTTTCGGCGCGCTCGAGCGCTCGAAAGCTTCCCCAGAGCAAAGCCCCCGTCCAAGGCCAGAAATTTTTGGGCGTTGTTGAACAGCCACAGCCTTGCCAGTCTTCAATCTGCGGGCAGTAAGAAACTCACGCCGTCGCTCGGCTCAACGGCCAAAACTCAACGGCCAAAACCGCCCCCCGAGGCCTCTTGCATAGTGGGTGGAGTTTCGCGACAGAAAATTTGAACGTTGCGAGCTTGCCGAAATAAGCTTGCGGCTTGGCAGAAAATCGAAAAACGTGTTTTTACGGCCGCCTAGCGCAAGAACGCGGCGAGCGCTCTTGCTTTCGGCGCAGACAATCGCCCGAAAGCTAGCAAAACCGCGGGCGGCGAACACTACTGCTTTCGGCGCGGTCGAGCGCCCGAAAGGTCCCTGGACGGTCAAAGAACGCGGGCGGCGAACGCTATTGCTTTCAGCGCGCTCGAGCGCTCGAAAGCTTCCCCAGAGCAAAGCCCCCGTCCAAGGCCAGAAAATTTTGGGGGGGTTGTTGCACGGCCGCAGCCCTGCCAGTCTTCAATTGGAGCTGGCCATTAGCTTGTAGAAATTCTTTGCGCAACCATTACAACGCCCTGCCTCTGCCCTGCAAGCGACAAAACGGCCAGACCTTTAGTGTGTGGAGCACGATCCCACACAAAGAATTTATCAACGGCGGGGCCAACCCAAATCGCGCCTTCCAAGCCTTCGGGCTTGTACGTTGTTCGTGCGAAACCCTAAAGATTTGCAACCCACGCTCTAGATCAAAGAATCTAGCATTTTCCTGTCTCAGGAAAAGCAAAACGTTTTCCGATTTGGAATCTAAGTTGAACAATACCAAGTCGTCTGACGCTGTAGTCGCGGCCGCGCGCTCAAAGAGCGCGGGCAGCGAACACGTTGCTTTCGGCGCGCTCGAGCGCTCGAAAGCTTCCCCAGAGCAAAGCCCCCGTCCAAGGCCAGAAATTTTTGGGCGTTGTTGAACAGCCACAGCCTTGCCAGTCTTCAATCTGCGGGCAGTAAGAAACTCACGCCGTGGGTGGAGTTTCGCGACAGAAAATTTGAACGTTGCGGGCTTGCCGAAATAAGCTTGCGGCTTGCGTGGCGTCAGGCTCTGAAGCGCCTCCAGAGCCTGGCTGCGAACTCTTGGCAGAAAATCGAAAAACGTGTTTTTACGGCCGCCTAGCACAAGAACGCGGCGAGCGCTCTTGCTTTCGGCGCAGACAATCGCCCGAAAGCTAGCAAAACCGCGGGCGGCGAACACTACTGCTTTCGGCGCGGTCGAGCGCCCGAAAGGTCCCTGGACGTTCAAAGAACGCGGGCGGCGAACGCTATTGCTTTCGGCGCGCTCGAGCGCTCGAAAGCTTCCCCAGAGAGCCCCCGTCCAAGGCCAGAAAATTTTTGGGGGGTTGTTGCACGGCCGCAGCCCTGCCAGTCTTCAATCGCTCGGCTCGACGGCCAAAACCGTCCTTCGCCCCCGAGGCCTCTTGCCAGCGGGCGGAGTTTCGCAACGGAAACTTCGAACGTCGCAGGCTTGCCGACGGGTAGTTTAACTTCAGGCCCGTGCGGGCGCAGCCTTTTTTTGGCCCTCGCGGCAAGCCTGCAAGTGGAAGAGGTTGGGAAAGCTCCTAGCGTTGCGTCGTCTTGATGCGCTCTTGTGCGGCGCCGCGCGAGTTTGCTTGACCGTGACAAACCCTTGGAGATCGCGCGCGCTCTCACTGCGAATTTTTTGACCGCGGCGGCGCGCGCCGTGTTTGCTTGATGTCGGCGCTCGCGAATGGTCTTTGGAGGCTGTCTCGTGGTTCGCTCGCGAAGCGCGCTCCTGCAGCTCCGGCCTGAAACTTGCACCAAGAGCAGTATGCGCGCCGGCTGAAAGCCTGCGCAGCGGAAAAGTAGACGCGAGGAGCATTTCGGATGAATCAAGCAATTTATCACGATGCCCAAAATGTTCCCAGATTTAAGAGTCTAGCTAGTTCGAAGCTATTCTGTCTTGGGAGTTAAAAGCCAAGGACAGAACTAAGGGGTCGAGCAATACAGCACACGCCCAGAAAAGCAGTTAGTTCTCTACAATTGAACTAAAACGAAGTTTTTTTTATACAAAATTTATCAACGAACGGCCACTTCCGGGGCCGTCTCAAAAATGTCGCTTCTGGCCAATTCTCTACAATTGAATTAAAACGAAGCTTTTTTTTTATACAAATTTTATCAACGAACGGCCACTTCCAGGACTGTCTCCAAAATGTCGCTTCTTGAGCTTCAAATGGACAAAATTTATCAACGAACGGCCACTTGAAGGCCTGTTTCCAAAATCTAGATTCTGGAGGTCCAAATGGCAAGTTGTCTACAATTGAATGAAAACGAAGGTTTTTTGATACAAACTTTAGCAACGAACGGCCACTTCCAGGACTGTGTCCAAAATGTCGCTTCTGGAGCTCCAAATGGCCTACACAAACGGCCGGACAGCCGTCCGCTGGCTATGTTGAAGGTTGTTTAGGAGTGGGAAGGAGGCGATGTAAAAGGCACGCCGCTG